TGTGAGCCGGCGCGCCGCACGTTGCGGTTCCCTGCGCACGCTGCTCCGCGCCGCGGGCGCCGGTCGTCTTTGGAGCGACTAGGACCCTCCGATCCCTCTCGGCGCCGAGAGCCTGGCCGCGGGACTGTGCCCCTGGGTGGGCTGAGAGCGGGAGAAGCTGGAGAAGCCGGGCTCCTAGCAGCGGCGGGGCGAGCGATGCCTGGGGCAGGGGGCGCGCCCCGGCAGGCCGCCCGCCTCCCGGCCGCCCGCGGCAGGACTCGGGGCCCTGCGGTTGGCCGCCTGCCCCTCGCCCGGGAGCGGCGGGAAGTGCGCGCCCCAGCGGCCGTGCAGGGCCCGCCCCGGCCCCGCCCTCCAGGACGTCCCGTCGGGAAACCCGCGAGCCACTTCGCCGAACGGCTGCGGCTCTGCCTCCGCGCGACAGGTAAGTGGCAGGAGCGGCCGGCGACCCTCGCAGGCCCTCGCGACAGACCCCCCTCCCCATCCCCCGGGCCTGGAACTCCGAGCTCTCCCGCTTCTCGGGACTTTCCCCCAGTCGAACTCGCTTCTGCCAGGTCCTTGCTCCCCACCTCCCTCCTCCTCCGACCTTCTCCTCCGCCACTTCCTCCTCACCACCCCCAGTAGTGAAATGAAGGGGTTGGGCCAAACCCCTTCGTCGGTTGTGCCGGCCTCTAGCTCCTCCCTCAGTAGGACCCCCCCCCCCCAGCCCCTCCACCTCTGCGCCTTACTTAAAAGATGAATGAAAAGCTCAGACCTTGGGGACTTGAAGGGTGGGGTGGGAGAGGGACAAGCCATAGCAGCCCCTCCAGGCTTCCCCAGCCCTTCCCCCTTTACCCACCCGTGTCCCCTCATTCTTTCCGTTCCCCTTCTTCACAGATTGGGCCACCCCACGTGCTCCCCTTATGAACATCTCTCAAGAGGGACATCCTCCTGGCCGCGCCACGTTGCTCCTGAATAGAGGTGGGGTCTCAGATGCCCTCTCTCTGGAGCCTTGGGCCTTTCGGGAGTGGGAGCTGTGCGGTTTTTATGGGAAGGGAGTCTGATGGGTGTTCATGACTGTGACGGTCCCCAACTTCCCTATTTCTCCGTCATTTGTTCCGACAAGCCCCAGGCTAGCTTAAAGGAGAAACAGTCTGTTACTTGCCCCCAAAGCTAGTCACCCCAGACCCTGATTTCTGCAGAGGGTAGGAAGGGGCTGTCCTGTGTGTATGGGGGAAGGGGGGGATCATTTTGCCAGCAAAGCCTAAAACAGACCCCCTCCACTGGCTAGCACCCCATTGGGGCAGTCCCAGGAAAGGTTTTAAGGCTGCCCCTCCAGACCACAAATGCAGTTCACAGGCAGTGGATGAGGTCAGCAACTCGGGACACACCAAAGACCCTGGGGCTTCTGCTCATTTTACCAAAGATGTGTGTGTGGCCCGCAGGCCCTATTCACCTCTCCAACACCTGAGCTTCATCCCTACCCCTCCTAGGAAGGGTAGAAAGGATGAGACAGGCAAATTCATGAGATGAATAATACAAGGTAAGGTGAGGGGTTTGAAATATACTTTGGTTCAAATTAAACTGCAGACGCCAGTATCCTTGCAGCTACTTTCCTAGCTCCCGTTCTTCAACAGTACCACGTATGTAGACACACAGAGGGAACAAGGGAAGACGACTTTCAGGGGTCTCAGGACAGAAAGGACAGGTCTGTCCAAGAGAAGGGCAGTCCGGAGCCGGTAGAAGCATGAAGGGTACCGGGCTGCCCGAGACGGCATCTTCCTTGGTCATCACAGGCTCACAGTTGTCAGGACAGCAGCCTGGAAGAGCATCACAGCAGAGTGGGGGCAGGGGGAGCACGGATGCATGCTGGAGGCCCTCTGAGATCAGAAACATCGTAGCCCAGGAGCTCCTGGGTGGCTCAGTCGTTAAGCGTCCGACATGATCTCACGGTTCGTGGGTTCAAGCCCCGCATCGGGCTCTGTGCTGACAGCCAGCTCAGAGCCTGGAGCCTGCTTCAGACTCTGTATCTCCCTCTCTCTCTGACCCTCCCCTGCTCACGCTGCCTCTCTCTCTTTCTCTCTCTCTCTCAGAAATAAATAAAACATTTTAAAAAAAGAGAAAGAAACATCTTAGCCCAGGCTTAGCTGGGAGATTAATGGCCAGGAGATATGACCATAGGCTTAGTCCAGGCAGCCATTGCCTAGATCTGAAGTCAGGAATAGGAGGGGCAGCTAACCTAGGACCAGGGGTCTCCAACTCAGGGGGGCAGTAGGTCTCATGGATCCAGGCAGCTGACTCAGTTCTATCTCTAATTTAGCTGTCTAACCTTGGCCAAGTCACATAAACACTCCCTGGGTGGGGAGCTAATGTGAAGGTGTATTCGAAAGGGCTTTGGCGAAGCTCCAAGCACCAGCCAAATAGGAGGCAGTGCGGTGTCATGGTTAAGACCAGTGGGCTTTGGAGACGTGAGACGGAGTGCAAATTCTCCCTCTGCTCCCTCCTTGCTATGTGACCTTGGTCAAGTTAAGCAACCTCCCTGTGCTTCAGTTTCCTTCTGTGTAAAATGGAAAAGATAACTGTCACCTAATTTGATGGGGTAAGTGGCGATATTAAAAATGGTGGTGGTATTGCCCTCCTCCTCCTCTGGCTCATGCAAACCTTGCCAGCTCTGGAAGTGAAGCGAGGATCAGAGAGGGTGTCTATATACCAGAGGGACCCAGTGAACAGCCGTGCCAAAGACTTGGGTGAACTTGGCTCTTCATACGGCCCTCTGTCCCACTCTGAGAAAGCCCAAAATGTCCATTCTCATTCAGTGGGAATGGGAGTGAGGGTTTGAATAAATGAGAGGTCAAGTGCAGGGCAGTGCCTGTCTCTGTGTTGTGCTCAATGCTGTAATTGTGCTGTGTCAAAGGCTTGCACAGTGAACAAGGTTGGGTTCAGTCTGGGGAGAAAAAGGACTGTCAGAAGACTCTTTTGTGGCACCTGAGAGCCCTGCGGGGTCACATTATTCTCCTACACCCTTTGCAGCCTGGTCCTGAGCCCTAGAGAGATTTGAAGGAGGAAGAAACGCAATCCTCACCCTCCGCTCTACCTATAAGAGAGAACAAAGGACAGACAGAGCAAGGCGGTGGACTAGCACAACCAAATTCCTCAGGGCTGTCGGATGCTTTGGGCCTTAGAAGGCTAGGTGGGTTGGTCCGGGGGGAAAAGCGTTCTGGAGGCAGAAGACTGGGGACCAGGAGACTGAAGGCCTGGGAAGGAGAAAGCAAACAGGTTGTAGGTAACCTGAGTCAAGGCCTGTCTGGCTCTTCCTCTCACAAAATCTAGTGGGGAAGTCCCATGAGGGGAAGCATGGGCAGTGAAACTTAGAAACAAATGCATCAGGATCCTGAGAGCGATAAGATGCACCTTGGTCTAAGGCTTCTCGAAGGAGGGGAGCCTGGGGAAGAATTTCAAAGAGAACAGAACACAGTTTGTTTAGCAAGAGTATAAGGGAGGGGCGCCTGGGTGGCTCAGTCATTTAGATGTAGGCTTAGGTCATGATCACGGCTTGTGGGTTCAAGTCCCAGGTTGGGCTGTGTGCTGACAGCTCAGAGCCTGGAGCCGCTTCGGATTCTGTGTCTCCCTCTTCTCTCTGCCCCTCCCCTGCTCACACTCTGTTTCTCTCTCTCTCTCAAAAATAAATAAGCATTAAAAAAGAGAGAGAGAGAGAGAGAGAGAGAGAGAGAATATAAGGGAAAGGCTGTGAGGAGGAAAAGGTAAGCCAGTGAGGGTGAGTGACAAGCAGAAAGCCAACCCCCTTTCCCCGCTACAACCAAATGTCATTAAAGGAATAAGAATACAGCTGTTCAGATTGTAAAAGTGAGAGAGGCCTGAGGCAAAGGAGGTGGGCCAGCAGCTTCTGCTGATCCTCCAGATGTTGGGAGATAAGGACGCAGTCTCGGATGACAGTTCTGAGTGAGAGGAAGAGGAGGACCCAGGAGGCAGGGAATGAATCAGCAGGACCCGGGAGTGGGTGTGGAGTGACCCTGACTTTGAGAAAGCGCTGAGAGCCATTGTACCTGCCTGGGAGTGGGGCAGGGGCAGGGGCTGTTTCAAAGACTTCCGTGCTCCTGGCCACAATGGGGAGATTGGGAAGGCTGGCCAACTGAGGGGGGCAGGGCACAGACCCCGAGTTCAGGGTGTGGTGTGTGTGCATTTGGTGGCGCCGACAGCAATCCTACAGGCAGGAGCAGAGTGTGCGGAGAGGAGAGAAGGAAAGACTGTGCTGCTCTCTCGCTTTACCCCCTCCTCAAATCTGGGGACCAGCCCAAGCTCTCTGGAGTACTAGTCCGGTTAACCCCTCCCCCCTCCCCCTTCCATCCTCCGTTCCCCCCTCCCCCCATTCCTGCTTCCATCCTCCCTTCCCCCCCACCCCTCGGAGGAGCCTGCAGCCTCCAGGCTCACTGTGAGAACGCTTGCACATCCCTGCCCCCACCTGATGGGCCTGGAGGTCCTCCAGCGAAAAACCTGTGAGCTGCTCAACTGTGGTCACATATTTTGACTTTCCGTGGCTTTTACAGCCTTGGCGTAAATGAACGAACATTTGCCAGGCACCTATGATATGCCAAGCACGGTTCCAAGTATGCCTTGTGAGCCAATTTGGGTTGGGTTTTTCAATGGAATATCCGTGTTTGGGAAACTTCAGGTTTTTCAATGGAATATCTGTGTTTGGGTAACTTCAGCTTAAAATGTTATGCAAACATAAAATGAACCTAGACACCATGGGGAAAAAAAACTTGATAGACTAGCTACAGAAATAACTTTCGGTGCATCTTTCTGGGAAAATAAGCCACAGGACTGCAGCTTGAGTCTTGAGGAAAACCTGCAATGTCCTGAAGGTGTAATTATGGGGAAAGTGAAAATCTCCCAGCATTCTGTAATCAGAAGGGTCGGGGAGGGGGGGTGGAGGAGGAGAGAATTTGCTACTCATGAGAACAGAGGAAGTGAAATGAGCTCCGCATTTGATGGCGGGAAGTGCTGGTGGCAAGAAAGAATCGTCCGGCCCCAAACGGCCTCTCGGTCCTCTCCCCCCTGGCCGGTAGCTTGAAATTGACCCGTCCCCTCCCCAGCGAGATGTCTAGCTCCACACACCTGTGCCCTCGGTGAGAATGGCGACAGTGGGCACTTGTCGAAGAACCTGTAACTGAGCCGTAGTGTGAGTAACTTGAGCAAACATCCCCGTGGGGGTGTTGGACTGCCTACTTCCTGGCTGCCACGTCTCCCGGAGGTGAGCGGCTTTGCTGATAAACAGAAAGAAACTTTGATACAAAAACGGCCACCTAGCCAGCAAGGGCGTGTTCTGGGTGGCTGACGCTGATTTTCACACAAAGCTGAGACTTTGCCTGGGACTTATAATTTTGGCATCTTGAAAGCATCTGTAGTCCTGGGTAGGATCTGGGGGGAGGGCACGTGCCGAAGAGGGGAGGGGAGAGGGGAGGGGAGAGGCGGGCCGGGTGGTGTGAGAGGGAAGCGGTGGGCGGCAGGGAGGCTCAGGAAAACAGCCTGGCCCCAGGATCACCGTAGCCTAGCCCAGTCCCTAGTTCCCCCTGCAACAGGGAGGTAAGAGTGTGGGGATGGAGCCGTGGCCTGGGAGCTGGGAGACTGGCATTGGCTCCCGGGAGCCACAAGCTGTGTGATACTGGAGAAGTCACCTAGCCACTCTGGCCTCTCCTGTAAAATGAGGGTGCTGGGCTCGCAGACAGACCTAGTCAAAGTGGCACGCGGATGTGTGCCAACAGAGTGTCCTGTAACTCACCTGCTGGCTGTCATAAATGCATTCAAACTACTGGTCAGTGAGGCCAGTGCTTATCCTCGTAGCTTTGAGCAGGTCCCTTTAACCCCTCAGGCTTCATCTCATTTAACAAGAGTTTATGGAATATGTACTCCATAAAACACCATGTGCTAGACTTTGCAAGTGAGAACAAAGGTGAAAACAACCTGTCTGGCCCAGGAGTTCACAGAGGTGGGAGGGGACAGACTCCTGCAGCACTGGCTGTCAGACCTCCAGGACTGAGCCAAAATAAGAAAGGCATTTGATTATTTTTTTAAGTTTACTTATTTATTTTTTAAATATTATTTTCTTTTTTTCTTCTTTTAATGTTTTATTTATTTCTGAAAGAGAGAGACAGCGTGAGCAGGGGAGGGTCAGAGAGAGAGGGAGACACAGAATCCGAAACAGGCTCCAGCCTCTGAGCTAGCTGCCAGCACAGAGCGGGACGCGGGTCTCGAACTCACCGATTGTGAGATCATGACCTGAGCCAAAGTCAGATGCTTAACCGACTGAGCCACCCAGGTGCCCCTAGAAAAAGCCTCATTTAAAATGTAATCATTTAAATTTCTTTAACCTTTAAGTTTTATGAATTTTAAATAACACATTTTTCATTTTAACTTTGTGTCAGGGTATGTTTATCATCTCCAGCGAGTGGAGAGCAGCATGAAAATAAAAATTTGTTATTCAAAATTCATAAAAATCAGGTAAAAGAAATTTCAGTAAAACTTTCAAATGATGTAGTATTTACCCTTCTGAAGTTGTTAAAGCTTAACACTGCTAACACATCCGCTATGCTGTGTGTCTGTGTATATAATAACTGACATGAAGTTTTAACAAAACGATACTCACCCATACGGCATGTGAGGCACTTTGGGATTTTCTTTTTTTGTTCTGTTTTATTCTGGTCATTCCAAGAATGTTTTTGCACCACCTGAAATGTGTCCCACAATCCTATGATGGGTTGTCATCCGTGCTTAGACATGCACTGGGGTGGGTAAAACCTTATGCCAGTGAGAAAAGGTGAGTTCATGCTCTGGCTGGTGGGGCCAGGGAAGCAGGTTGCATTTGTTCAGTCTAGGAGAGCTTCCTGGAAGAAGAGGATTTCCAGCGTCCTCTCGGTACTGAAACCAAGGTGGTTCTGTGTGTGGCAATCCCAAGGGTAGCTGGAGGAAAAAGAGCTGGGAGCAAACACTCAACAGTAGCAGGAGGGGAATGAGTGGATGAGGGCAAGGGCGCGCTCGCCCAGCGGTCCTGTAGGTTAGGCCTGGGAGCCCGAAGGTGAGGGAGCTACAGGAGACGCTGGGGTGAGGATCCTGGGAAGCCCTGAACTTGACCAAGTACTACATACAATAGGGACCACTTCACCAGGCTGGTGGAGGGCTGGCTCCCAGTCCTGCTCGCCACACTTCTGGGAATCTGGCTTCTATCCGAGTGTGAGTCTCTTTTAAGGGACTCTTTCCTATTGCCCACATGCTGAGCAAACAATCTAGAGACCTAGTCCCTTCCCGCCACAGCTAATCACAGGTGTCTCGTTTCATTTCAGGATGTGGTTAGTACCTTGAGGAACTGCAAACTTTGGAGAGCAAGGCTTAGACACGCAGACTGGATTGAGACAGCAGCTGCCCAGGAAGGACTCAGTGTAACCCTAGGTCTCTTTCTTCAGGGGAAATAAAAGGAGCAGAGGTGAACCCCACTGCAAAGGACCACGAGGCAATGCGAGGACAAGGGAATTGGAGTGACCTAGGCGATTCTGAGTGATCAGTCAGGGTGGCCTTCCTGGAGGAGGTGAGTCTTGAGCACTTGGCTGCAGCTGGTAACCAAGCTGTCACCAAGCCTTTGTTTCTAACTGTGCTCCCTCTTTCTTGCTGGAGTGGGGAGGTACATGGAAATATCAGGGAAGATGCAGCCTGCGGGATGGGTCAACGCTGTCATGGCAAACACCTCCCTGTTTACAGGCCCTCTTGTTTGTGTTTCGCCGGGGCAGTTCCAGAATTGAGGAGGGGTCTAGCTCCACCCGTGCTGGCCCAGCATGGCTCAACGTCTAGGGCAAAAACCTGCCCCTGTACTGAACCCCCATTCCCTCCTTGAGGCCTTCTTCGAGAGATCTTTCTCTTCCAACTTAGCACTCACTGTCCATGTTGTTGTTATTAAGTTTTCATTTTATTGATTTTTGAAGAGATAATGTAGTCAGAGCTCAAAGTGCGGAAGGGTGCTCAGGGAAAGCTCTTTTTTCCTGCTCCCCTCTCTTCCCTGGACAGGTGCTCCCTGGACCCAGTGCTAGCAATTCTTCTTCTCCAACTAGACTTCAAAATCCCTTGGGGAGATTTGTACCGCTCTGTACCCCTCCATGTCCCAACTGGGGCGAGTTGTCGCATCCCATCATCCAAGCACCAGGCCCTCCCTCCTCACCCACGCTGCTGCTGTCTTGGGTCAGACCCTCACCCCCACCAGAGCCCCTCTCTGTTGGCCGTCCAGCTGCCAATCGGATCCATCTCTTAGACACCCTCCACCAGCTGTCATACGGTTTTCCTGTAATGCTGGGCCCTGGCTAATCTTTTGTGGCTCCCATACCTGAGGTCAAGGGCAGACTCCTTGGCGTGATGACCTACTTGTAGCCACCTCTCCAGGCCCATCCTCAGCTATTTTCATGCTCCCACCACACCAAACCACTGGAGGCTCTCTGCTTGGCAGTAAGATCTCCCACCTCTAGGCCATAGTTTGTGCTGCTCCCTCGGCCTGAAGTATACTCACCTGGCCTGGCTGGCTCCTTCTTGTGGGACAGGGCTCAGGCCAAACTCCTCCCCTGTGGGACCTCTTCACAGCTGTCACCTTCCGCCCCCTTGCTGGGTTTCCTGCATCCTCCCTCCCTGGGCACCAAGGGTGCCTGTCTCATGGGGTGAGCTCCATTGAAAACATGACTTCTCAGGTAGACTTCAATTTAAAAAAAAAAAATCTGACTTCCCCAATTGACTGTACGCTCCTTGATGGCTGGACTTGCGCATCTCCATCTCTCCCATTGTGATGCGAAAAACAACTTTTGAGAAAGAAGGCTTTGTTCTTCTGAGTCGCTGCCTCGGCATTGTACAGTAGGATAACCCTACTCACATCCAGAGTCTGGACATTTAGATAAGGACTTGAGTTTAGGATGCCTGCCAAAAGTTCCCACTTTGCTTTTAGCAGGGCACCTTTTAAAGTAACCACTTAGGGAATGCCTGGGTGGCTCAGTTGGTTAAGCGTCCTACTTTGGCTCAGGTCATGATCTCACAGTCTGTGAGTTCAAGCCCCGCGTTGGGCTCTGTGCTGACAGCTCAGAGCCTGGAGCCTGCTTCAGATTCTGTGTCTCCTTCTCTCTCTGCCCCTCCCCCGCTAGCTCTCTGTCTCTGTCTCTCAAAAGAAAAGAAAATAACCACTTAGGCGCCTGGATGGCTCAGTTGGTTGGGCGTCTGACTTCAGCACAGGTCATGATCTCACCGTTTGTGGGTATGAGCCCCGCATGGGGCTTTCTGCTGTCAGCGTAGAGCCCAGTTGGGATCCTCTGTCCCCTTCTGTCTGCCTCTCCCCGCTTGCACTCTCTCTCTCGAAAATAAACGTTAAAAAAAAAAAATAACTACTTAGAGTTAAGCCTGAGAAAAGGTAGTGACCTCTGCCCCAGTCGCCTTTTAAGTAGACGCTAGCTAACTCTCTCTGTGTCCTGCTTGCTGGTGACCTCAGACAGAGGACAGCCCTTCCCCTGGCTCCTTGCGCCCCCTCGCTTCTGGGATCTGTAAGTAATAATAAATCTTGTGCCTCTGCTTCCTTTGTGTGGGTGTGTTGAAACTGGGCCTTCAATCAGAATAACCCCATGGGTTTCACTTCCCCAAAGTGGGACTTCAGATGCCGAGGGAGCTAACCTGCAGGCGCCCTGTGGGTGGCCTGTGCACCCTATTCTGCAGGTCCTAATCTGCATATTCTGATTTCAGTACATCAGCTCCCACTTCTCACCACCACCCCCATCTGGCAGAGTCTGGTATTCAATCAATGTTGGCGGGATTTGCCAATTTCCCCTCCTGTCTCCTAGACAACTCCTGATACAAAACAGTTGCTCAGAGCGATTCTGTTTTATTTGACTCTTGGTGATGCCGTCGAATCTGGCGTTATAAAAGGAAACCACCTGTGTAGCCCTGTTCCCTCTGGAGATCATGGTGGACCCAAATTCCACAGATATCAGTGACTCCAGACACCAGGCTTTTCTCCACAGGCAGGAAGAAGCTTGTGTGTTTAAATAACAGCATTCAGTAGTTCAACTGGAATTACTTTTCAACAAGATGTGCTACGGGTAATGAGTGTGGCCTTGGCCAAGGACCAGATACTCAAGGATAAGTGCTGGGAAGCTGAGCAGGGATTTATTAATTATAACAATAGACATAATTTATTGAGGGCTTAGTATGTGCCTGGCACTCTGCCGAGCGTTGTACCTACATTATCGCTGATTTAATCTTCACGGTGACCCTGTGAGTTAGGTATTAGTTACCTCCCACTTTATAGATGAGGAAATCGAGCCTTAGAGAGATGAATTTCTCCAAGGGTCACACAGATGCTATTAACAGAAACTAACATTTTCTGAGAACCTTCTGTGTGCAGAGACTGCTAAACTTCTTCCATGAATTGTTACATGGAACTTTACTCCTTATAACAATCCTAGAAGGTAGGTACTATTATTAACTGGAAGAGGCAGAATTGGGATTTGTACCCAGGTCTGTTGCCACCAACATCTAGAGTTCCCTATAGAAAGTTTGGCCAACACTCATCCCCTGAGCCCTGGGACCATGTGCCTCAGGATAGAAGCTGGTAAAAATATAAGCCCATCTCTGCCTGGAAGATGTTGTCATAGAAACACCAGGGTTTTTGTTTGTTTGTTTGTTTTTTAATTAAATGAGTAGCTACAGGGCATCTGGGTGGCTCAGTCGGTTAAGCATCTTACTTTGGCTCAGGACATGATCTTGCGGTTCGTGATTTCAAGCCCCGCATCAGGCTCTCTCCTGTCAGCGTGGACAGCCTGCTTCAGATCCTCTGTCCCCTTATCTCTGCCCCTCTCATCTTGCACATGTGTGCACACACTCTCACTCTCTCCCTCTCAAAAATAAACATTAAAAAATTAAATATGAGTGGATAGAGAAGAATACCTATAAAATACATGTAGGGCTGTAAAGAATAACAGTTCTACCAGCAGCCACCATCCACTTAAGAAAAAATACTTGAAGTCCACTGTGTGCCTCTATTCCCACACATTTCCCTCCGTCTCCAGAAATTTTGGTTTTATTATTCCTTCAGGGTTTTTTTTCCCCTCGTTTTTCTTTATAGCTTTACCACATGTTCATGTTTGTATGCAAACACAATATATCTTTTAGTTTTTACAGGTGTTTGAATTTTCTATGAGTGGGTTCATACCGTATGTGTCATTCTCGGCCTGCTGTCTGGACGCAGCAATTACATCACGTAGCTGCTTGTGGAAGTAGCTCGCTCTTGTCTCTCGTTCTGCTGCAGAATACTCTGTGCTGTGGGCATTTTATACTTATTCATTCTGTGGATGGACTTTTGGATTGTTTCTCATTTTTGCTGTTTGAGTCAGCACCGCTAGAAACCTTCCTGTGCATGCCTCCTGGCCCGTGTGTGCTTGAGGTCATCTGGGATGTAAAACTAGGAATAGAATTGCAGTGTCAGAGGGTGTGTACATGTCCAATTTTGCTTGATAAGTTCACATTGTTTCCCAAGGGGGTTATGTCGATTAAGCCTCTTCATGCAGAGCCTCTGTGTCCTAGATCCACGAGTGGCACATTCTTAGAGCAGGAAGGAAACACAGAGTTTGGCCTCCTCATTCTGTGGGGAGAACAAAGTCAGGCACAGAAAAGTGACGTGACTGGGCTGAGGTGGTGTCAGCGTTCAGCCGCAGAGCCTGGATTCAAACCCCAAGCCCCTTCCACACGTCCGCCTTGGCTCATTGCTCTCTCTCTCTCTCTCTCTCTCTCATCCCTTCCCTTTTCAGGCTGAGGCCCCAAGGTGTGGCCACCACAACATATCGAGATATTTCCAGGGCCGGGCCTGGCCCTCGGGGCTGAGCCAGCCGGGGTCCCCATCGGCCCCCGAGGATGCGTCTTCTCCGCAGGCGCCGCATGCCCCTGCGCCTGGCCGTGGTGGGCGGTGCCTTTGTGCTCTTCCTCTTCATCATGCACAGGGATGTTAGCAGCACGGAGCAGGCCACAGAGAAACCGTGGCTGAAGTCTTTGGTGAGCCAGAAGGACCACGTCCTGGACCTCATGCTGGGGGCCGTGAACAACCTAAGAGATTCAATGCCAAAGCTCCAGATCAGGGCCCCTGAGCCCCAAGAGACCGTGATCTCCATCAACCAGTCCTGCCTGCCTGGATTCTATACCCCAGCTGAACTGAAGCCCTTCTGGGAAAGGCCACCGCAGGATCCCAATAGCCCGGGGGCAGACGGGAAGGCATTTCAGAAGGACAAGTGGACCAGCCTGGAGACCCAAGAGAAGGAAGAAGGCTATAAGAAGCACTGTTTCAATGCCTTTGCCAGTGACCGGATCTCCTTGCAGAGGGCCCTGGGGCCCGACACCCGACCCCCTGAGTAAGTAGCACCCAGTGTCCTGGGGTAAGGTCATGGCCATGGGCCAAATGCCAGGTAAAGAGCTGATGGTGATTTCATGATGTGGGCAAGGATTTCCTCTAAGCCCTCCCTTCCTTTCCTGGCCAGTGCCCTTATCCTAGTGGTTGGCATGTGGTTAGGCCGGAGAACCCGGGATGCTATGAAAGTAAGATGATGAATTATGAAATTACTGTTATGAAAGTGACAGGATACAGAAGGAGGGACTCAGAGCCTGGGACCAGGGCCCGGCACAAGGGTATCTGGGAGGGCCTGTTCCAGGCTGTGGAGTCAGTGGCCTTGGCTTCTGCCTGAGAGCCTGGATGACTCTGCCGCTGAGCTGCTGGGAAAGGGACATTTCCCAACAGCAGCCCAGATGGTCAGGACTGTCCCCACACTTCCTGGTTTCCTGCTGTGAAAGCCCGTGGGGCCATGAACTCATTCCAACCTTTAGAGGAAGCCGTTTACACTTACGTTCCTGGGCAGTGAACCCACACTTGGATCCCTGAGCTATAGCCACCTCACTCTGAGGCTGCTGTGGCTGCGTCCACACTGCCCTTAATTCAGAGATTTTGCTTTTCCCAACGCAAGGGTCATACCCTTTTGGCCTGGTTCTCATGAACCAGGAACACCCTCAGGTTCAGGGTTCCTCAGAGCTGGGAACCTAGGGTTCCTCAGACTTGGACCCATACTATAGTCCTAGAAGGTAGAGCTACTCAAGAGTTATTAGGAGCTCGTCAGCTGGGAGGGGCGCTGCGCACGAGGGCAGCCAGCGGAGGAAGTTGGGGAGTCTTTTCTAGAGGGTCCTTGAGAAATCTCTGACCAGCAGAGGGGAATAAGAGAGGCTGTCAGGCCACCTGATTCCTTGAAATCCAGATTCACACATTCCCACTCCCACCCGAGGCGGAATGGCAAGAAGGTATCAGTGTGGCCACGTGCCCGGCGCAGCCGGGGTAGATGAAGGCGGAGAAGAGGCCACAGGAAACCATGTGTGATAGTAGCTCCGATTACAGGGAATTAAGGAGGAAATGGGTTAGAGAAGAACTATAAACTGTAAAGAGAGGATCTTTTCTCTTTCCTTGAGTCTGGAAATGGTCCTCACTCTTCTCAGATGTCAAATTTGTGCTTTATGGCTTCCTCTCTGGGACCTCTGGATTGGGTTACACTATATGCAGTACGCACATTACTGAGGCAGAGAGAGTCAGCCCTGGGAAGTCCTAGAGCGGATGGGGGAGGGCAGGGGAGCCCCTCTGCATTGCAGCTGGTGCACGGAGCCAGCCGTGGGGCAGATGGGTTTTGGAGTGGGTTGGCTAGGACCTGTGCAGAGGCTCAGAGCCGGTAGAAAATCAGAGTAAGCTAGGAGCAGGGAACAGCTATTCCCAAGCACAACAGAGAGCAAAAGATGCTTATGAAACCTATGGACAGAGAGCCCTCCCAGCCCTGGAGCTCCCAGGGACCCGCAGAGCTGTATCTCTACCTCCGCCTGTCCAGATGTGTCGACCAGAAGTTCCGCCGCTGCCCGCCGCTGCCCACCACCAGCGTCATTATCGTGTTCCACAATGAGGCCTGGTCCACGCTGCTGCGCACGGTGTACAGCGTCCTACACACCAGCCCCGCCATCTTGCTGAGGGAGGTCATACTGGTGGATGATGCCAGCACCGACGGTGAGGCCGGAGGGGGCCCTGGGAAGGGGGCTGGTGTCTCCCCTAGTCCTCTGGGAAGGAGGGCAAGTTCTCTCCAGGGAGCAGGCAGCCTCACTGCTTGCTGCCTGGCCCCACTGCTCACTGTGCAGTCCGGGATCAGGGAGATGACGCTAGGGGACAGGGGCCGGTAGACCTTATCCCTAGAGCCTGGACTTTGGTCTCACTTCAGCTGAAGGCTGCAAAAGCTTTGTAGTTCTGGCTTCGGAGACTCCCTTAGAGCTGCGAAGCCCAACCCCCAGTCAGAAATGTGGGAAGAAGTCAGGGCAGAGGGTGAGGATAGGCCTTCCCCTCTGTTTCCTGCTAGACCCCTCTTCTACTCTGGGGAGAATCTGCCTCAGAAGCTGTCTTTGCCATAGTTGGTAAGAGGGAGGTGAGGTTGCTCTCCAAACTTGCACCCTTCAAAGCCGTTCCGCACATCCACAGAACGCGCTGCCTGGTGCTGACCTAGGCACGGGATGCAACGGCGAATGACAACGTGAGACAGGCCAACAGCCCCCATAGGTCAGATAGCCTCTTATAACACCAGTCACGGCGGTATACTGCCCATAACACACCCCCAACACACGTGAAAGAGCATGGACTTGAGGGTCGACACCCAGGAATTTACATCCTAGCCCTGACTCTTCCTAGCTCTGCGACCTTGGGCAAGTTACTTCCCCTCTCTGAACCTCAGTTTCCTCTTCTGAAAATGAAGGTAGCGGACTCCCTTACATGCTGGGCGAGGTATCAGAGACGGGGAAGAAATGAGACAGTGTAGGTGCCAAAGAGTACTTAGCATCGAGGAAGGGCTCCATGAGCATTCGTTTGGTTTACTCTTTGTATGGGAACAGTGCACTCTGGGAGCACATAGCCGGATGTTATTTGTGCATGGCATGCTGAGGGCGGTCCACAGCGGAGACCAGACTGAAGCTGGGCCCTCAAGCATGACTGTCTAGGGAGAGAAGAGGCACTGAAGGGTGTTTCTAGAAGAGAAAATGGCATAGACAGAGTTTGTGAAAAATTGAGAGGTTTGCTGTGGCCGAAGCTTAGGTTTGTTGTAGGAAATGACACTGTAAAAGATGTTGAATTGAAATTTGTGCCATGCTAAGAGTATTTAGGGAAAAGAAGAGGAGTCGTTGAAGGTGTTTAGGCTGGAGAATGACCTGGTCTTAGAAGGGTGGTGGCTCCGGGGGACAGGAAGTGTCAGGAAGGGAGGCAGAGGACCCCAACTCCGGGGAGGAAGTTCTTACGGTCACTGGAGAGTGGGATGACGCGTCAGAAGAGGACAGGGGCTGTGGCACTGGGCGTCTTCCCCCCTCCTTCTGTGGCACACCAGCGTCTTTGGCTCTCCCAGCCTGGCCTCCAGGGCCCGCACTCCCTTCTCAAGGACAGGAACTGATTCCACTCTTCCAGGTGTATGCGCTGGGGCCACTCCAGTAGAGCCGCCACCCCCTTACCTTCCCGAGTCTCCCTCCTGCCTTGGAGTAGGGCTGATGCCAAAAACTGAAATGGGGTCATGGAAGGCGGAAGAAGGCACTGAGTGTGAGCACCACGAGTCAGGGTGTTCACATTTCCCCAGGGGGAACAGACACCTAGCAGCAGCACTTACAAAGCAAGGACCGAACCAGTTTCAGGGATGCAGTGGTACAGTTTAGTAGACAAGGAGCTAGAGATCAGTCTTCCAGAAGGGAGGAACAGAGAGCTTAGCAGAGACCGGAGGGGCACCTTGGGAGATTCCTGCAAGGAATCTCCGTAGCAATGGAATGGTTGGCGCGAGAGCAGGCGTATCAGCTGCGCTTCCTCTCGAACAGGAAACCCTTCTCCCCCCAGTCCTGGGCTGCCCATCCTGCAGAAGCTGCTGACCTTGACTCACATGTGGTGGAAGTTCCAGACTGTTTCACCTTGCCACCCAGAATGTTGTGCGTCCATAAAGGACAACCCTTCTGACCAGGCAAGACAAGTGACATAATGCCAGCCTGGTATGGGTGGCATCTAAAGAGCACAGCAGGGGCACCTGGGTGGCTTGGTCAGTTGAGCGTCTGACTGTTGATTTCGGCTCAGGTCGTGATCTCATGGTTGTGAAATTGAGCCCTGCATCAGGCTCTGTGCTGGGTGTGGAGCTTGGAGCCTGCTTAAGATTCTCTGTCTGTCTACCGCCTGTGCTCTCTGAATGAATGAATGAATGAATGAATGAATGAATGAATGGCACAGCAGTCTGTGTCTGGTAGGGTGGACTTTGTATTAGCCCCTGTGGCTCCTCTGAAGGGACTACCCGTTGCCAGCCACCGGATGCGTGCTTCCATTCTCTTTGGGTGTCTCTGAGCCAGGTCCAGTATCTCAGAATCACCTGCCTGAAAAACCTAGAGCCGTCATTCTTATTTTTCCGCATCCTGGCCTCTTCAAGAATCTGTTCAAAGCTGTGCCCCCTCCCTAGGAGAGTGTGCAATTGCTACTTCAGTGTGCACACACCCACATTTTTGCAGGTAATTCCAGGGAATTTGTGGACCCTATGATAAACAGCCCCACCCCGAGGGCTTTTGGACACTAGACCTGCTTTCCAGTGTTCAGATCAATGGGGGAGGAAAGGAAGAAACTCAGATCCGTGGTCAGAAATCTCCACCGTCCACCACAGGATACAGTTTCCCACGTTTGACTGTTGGATCAGATTAACTGGCTCTCATTACACACACACAAACAAGGGCTGTGTCTCTGCTGAAACACAATGTCCATGCTCTCCTGCCCTCCTCTCCAGGTGCCTGGCCCCAGATTTATGACCATGACTCTACAGGCATTTGATACTGGGCGGGTTGGGGGAGGCCTGGGGCAGGCTAGGGAACTTTTTCTTTCCCACTTTGGAGTTCGAAGCAGGCACAGATTTCATTTCTGCAGGGCCAGGTCTGCGGCCAGGTCCACTCTTGGTCTGGCACGCTGCACAGGCTTCTCAAAACTGGCCCTTGAGGCCCCCACGCCCCCAACAGGTCATCCCTGTATTGAAAGCCCTGCCCTGCCCCTTGGGGAGGCTGAGGGTGAGAGAACCTAGACTTCTGTGGGAATTTGCTAGATGGATTGGAGGAAATCATACACATCTAGGACCCAGAGAGTCAGGAAGTGAGCAGGACCCTCAGTGAGCAAGTTGCTCACCGAGAGAGCACGAGAGAGGAGTTAGGAGGTGCCGTTGGCCAGCAGGGGGTGCTGTAGGAAGGGAAGCTGTAGGAAGGGAAGCTGGGGAAGGGCAGCCCTGAAGTCAGGAAATAACACTGTGGGGGGCGGGGGGGGAACATTTGGGGTGCACTTCGGTTTAAGCCAAGATTTCTTTCACTTCCATCTCCCCTCGCTGCTCAGAATTGGAGTGGCAGGGGTGCCTGGGTGGCTCAGTTAAGCATCTGACTTCAGCTCAGGTCATGATCTCACGGCTCATGAGTTTGAGCCCCGCATCGGGCTCTGTGCTGACAGCTAGGAGCCTGGAACCTCTTTCGGATTCTGTGTCCCTCTCTCACTCTGCCTCTCTCCCATTCATGCTCTGTCTCTCTTTCTCCCTCTCTCTCAAGAATAAATAAACATTAAAAAAAAAAAAAAGAATTGGGGTGGCAGGCCGTCCCGTGGCCTCCTAAATTCCTAAGTAATACAAGTCAGAAACTCTTCAAAGCCTCTGATTTTAGTTGAACTACAACTTCCAGTGTGTATTTCAACAGGTGAAGTTGCTTTATCACCTTTATCTCCTACCTCTGTACTTGTTTGATAATGTAAGAAGATCTCTCCATAGTAACTCTGTGTCCTGGGTTTTCTGGGAAGGTTTACATTTCCATATTTTCTTCTGTTTCTGCCCACAAAGAAATTCTATTTCCACATGTAAATTTCACCTGCCAGTCTACTCCTTCCACCTGGAAATGGAAAGCGGCTGACGATGAATCTTGGTTTAGGTTTGAAAGCGCAGTCCTGTGTCCGCATGTTCTATCTGGACCTGTGACTTGTAGGATGCTCCCAAAGGGCGTCATACTTTTTTACTTCTCCTTTTACCCTTCCAAGTGGATTAATCCAGAAAAATCTCCCAGTTGCAGTTAGATTCAAGGCTGAATTAAACACAGATGGGCATGAAACACTGAATAAAAACAAACAAAACAGGAAAAATTAGTGAGGAAGTCCTTCCTACACAAAAGGCTTTCTCTTGTTCTTTTATAGATTTTTCAGAAGCCAAGGAAGAAGGCGACAGCCCATAAGAAAACAGTAAATAGGGGCGCCTGGGTGGCTTAGTCGGTTAAGCGTCCAACTTTCGCTCAGGTCATGATCTCGCGGTTCGTGTGTTCGAGCCCCGCGTCGGTCTCTGTGCTGCCTGCCAGCTCAGAGCCTGGAGCCTGTTTCAGAGTCTGTCACTCCCTCTCTCTCTGACCCTCCCCGGCTCACGCTGTCTCTCTCTCTCTCCTAGAAATAAATAAAACATTAATAAAAAAAAAAAAGAAAACAGTAAATAAAGGCGGGCATTCACTGATTTGCTTAATACGTATTTTTTTAGTTATCTACCAGGCACCAGACCCTGCACCAGGCCATGGGGGTACAGCAAAGTGAACAGGTTGACAGGGTCTCTACTTCTTAGAGCTTACTTTTAATTTTTTTCATTTTAAAAATTTTGTTAACATTTCTTTACTTTCATGGGAGAGAGCATGAGTTGGGAAGGGGCAGAGAGAGGCAGACAGGACCTGAAGCAAGCTGTGTGCTATGTGCACAGAACCTGATGTGGGGCTCAAACTCCTGAACCCTGAGATCATGACCAAGAGTCTACCACATAACCCACTTAGCCACCACCCAGGCACCCTTTACCTTGTATTCTTTTTTTTTTTTTTTTTTTTTTTGAGAGAGAGAGCATGCACGCAAACAAGTGAGAGAGGTGCAAAGAGAGAGGAAGACACAGGATCTGAAGCAGGCTCTGTGCTGTCAGTGTAGAGCCTGATGTGGAATTTGAACCCACGAACCATGCGATGGACTTG